GGGTGGAATAAACAGCAGAAATTAATTTTCTCACAGTTCTTGAGATTGGAAGTCCAAGATCAAGGTGTTGGCAGGTTTGGTTTCTCCTGAGCCCTCTCTTCTTGGCTTGTGGATGGCGTCTTCTCTCTGTTTGCTCACATGGCCATTGTGTGCGTGGAAAGAGAGTGAGCTCTGGTGTCTCTTCCTCTTGTTAGAAGGATACCAGTCCTATTGAACTAGAGCCAATTCATATGACCTGATTTAGCCTTCAAGACTGCTTTACATGCCCTACTTCCATATACAGTCACATTCTGAGGTGTACTGGGGTCAGGACTTTAACATATAAATCTGAAGGGGACACAGTTCAGTCCATAACAGACAGCCTTAAGAAGAACCAAGGCTGTTGCAAGGTTGTTTACCCATATGGAGACGCAACAGTAAAGCAAGAGCCATCTGCAAACGGTAGGCCATCCAACTGGCCTAGGCCAAGCCCAAGTGCAGGTTTGAGGACATCCAGGAGCCAGAGTCCCAACACCAGGCTCCTACAAAGTGTAAATAAGCATTCTCTGAATGCTGGTTGCTTACTTGGAGATATTTTTAAGTGTCCCCAGTCTTTGAAAAGGGAACTAAATGTTCCCCCTGCCTCAGCCCCTGCTGCCTAAGAAGCATGTGATGGAAAAACCAGGCTGGGCTAGGGACAGAGTGGGAGCGAGCGAGCTCTCAGGTCTTCACATTGATTTATGTTGTGGTTAGTGGTTGTAGTGATTGGGCTTCTCACTGGTGATTGGTATGATCTGGAGGTTGGCGTTGTTAAGGAGAGGTTTCGGTGATGAGTACAGAAAATAGAAAATTACTGTAAATAAGGTGGTAGTTAGCTGTTTTTAATTTTATACAGCTCATTATACCATGGTCAAATGAAAACCTTGACATTTGGGGCAGGAAGCATGTGGCTAGTGGGGGTGAGTAGACTCCAGTCCTGGCTGCTGCAGAGTGAAAGTCTTTCAAGAGCCTCACAGAAGCAGGCAGCGAAAAGGGAGCGTCGGAAATCAACACTGGTGATTTCTTCTTCCAGATAGAGTTGTGTATCCTATAGATTCCTTACTCTGCTAGCCAATACACAGATCAGGATAGGGGCACTGGGGATGAGGGTGTGGACTTCCCCAACATACTGGCCACAGGCAATGATGTTCTCATTAGATCAGGCCAGTGGAACCCATTGTTCGCACTCTGAGGCCCTCAGTCACGGAGGTCAGATGAACACAAAGCCACGACATCGCTAAGGCCAGGCTGCACTGTTAAGGCAAAGGCCTAGCTTTTCTCCAGACATCTTAGGAAAAGGCAAAACGTTTTCCTGGGTTACTTCTTGCGCGGCTGGAAAAAACAGTCACCCAAAAACTGAAGTGCAAGAAATTGTGAGCCTTTGGTACATCATCTGCATTCAGGTCAAAAGAACTTTGAACATGTTTGTCTCCGCAATAAAATCCCACTTCTAAAAGGGATTCTATCTTCTTTCTGAAAACTATGACGTTGAAAGAATATAACATAGCGATATCATAATATGGCACAGTGGTTAAAAGAATGGACTTTGGGGGCAGGTGACCTGAGTTCAAATCCAGTCTCTGACACTGACGGGCTGTGTAACTGCAGACAAGCAAGGTATTCTTCCTGTGCATAACGGTACCTTCCTCCTGGAGGTGTTGTGAGAAACACACACACAAGGGTTGGGGACAGTGGCGGGCCTATGGGACAAAGCAAACGTTATCATGAGTACTGAACAAAGGCTCCTTTGGAAATTTCACTGGGTTAAAGGAGAGAGAAAGAGAGACAGGGAGAGAGAGAGAAAGACACAGAGATAAAGTATGAGTGTGAGAGAGAGACAGACACAGAGGCATAGAGTTGCAGGGGAGAGAGAGATAGGCTGTGTATACCTACAGGTAGGAAGCAAAGGAAGAACAGACTGGTTCTTATGAAGCCTCGCTGGAAACACTCTATCACAGCAGTCCCCACCTTTTTGGCACCAGGGGCTGGTTTCATGGAAGACAATTCCATGGATGGGGGTGGAATGGTTTCAGGATGATTCAAGCACATTACATTTATTGTGTACTTTATTTCTACTATTATTACATTGCAATAAAGGAAATAATCATACAACTCACCACAGTATAGGACCAGTAGGATGTCTCACCTTGTTTTTCTGCAACTAGTTGGTCCCATCTGGGGGTGATGGGAGACAGTGACAGATTGTCAGACATTAGATTCTCATAAGGAGCAACCTAGATCCCTCGCATGTGCAGTTCACAATAGGGTCCGAGCTCCTATGAGAATTTAATGCTGCGGCGGTTCTGACGGGAGGCAGAGCTCAGGCAGTAGTGGGAGTGATGGGGAGTGGCTGTAAATACAGATGAAGCTTCACTTGCTTGCCTGCTGCTCACCTACTGCTGTGTGGCTTGGTTCCTAACAGGCCAGGGACCAATGGGTGTTATAGATCAGGGTTGGGAACTCCTCCCACATGTGGGCCTGTGGCTTAGTTGATACACCATACATTTTTCCCTTTCTCTAAATGGAATGTGATATAGTCCCCTCTTTCTGAGCCTCTATGGCCTTGCAAAATCAGGGAAACACCTTTTTCTGCCTGGGCCCAGCCTCACCTTCCTCTCCTCTCCATCTTGACAAGTATCCCTGGCTTGGAATCATCAGCCACCAGTTCCCCGCCCCTTGGCGTGAAGCTGCCATCACCAAAAATCCTTCCTTTGCCCAACGGGTATCTTGAAACCTCTGAGAGTTTAGGCCTTAGAAATATTCTCTGGCATATGTCTTACAAAGAAACTTGCTGATGTAACAGAAAATGTCTATTCATGACTCTGGAAATGAAGGGAGGTAGTAAGGGGGGAACTAGGAAGCATACGAAAGAAGGAAAGAAAGAAGGTCGGGCAAGAGAGTGAGGGAGGTGAGGACGGAAGGCAAGGAAGGGAGGGAAGCAGCATTTTCGAAGTTTACTGTGAAGAAAGAAACAAAAAGTGGCAACGTGAGCCTCTTCATGTAAATCTACATGAAAACATGAACATCTGTCCCAGCCAGGATAAATTTAACATGCAGAGAAATATACACACTAGAATGTTAAAGGCAGCAGGATACACAGTGTGATTAGAACATGTTAAAACCAAACACAAACAGACGCAGGAGAAATGATCTGAAGGAAATACTTCCCAACTGCTAGCAGTGGTGGTCTTTGGGAGCTTTTGAGGAATTTTCTTCTTCTTTTGATGTCACAGAAAGGGCAGACTTATTTAAAAGGGAAATCTCACTGCACTAAGATCACCCCTTTCACAGCCTACTCTCAGCAAGGCAGCTGGAGCATTCAAGAGCCTATTTGCCTTGTTCCTTCTCCATTCCAGCATTTCTCACCTTGCACCAGGTTCCTTCATTTCCTGATGGTGTCTTCACCCTCTAGCACCTTCCTGCCCGTCCATCCCGTCCATTTGTCAGAGGGCTGCTGGACTCATCTACCTCAATTAATGGCCACTTCCCACTCTCTCCCGCCCTCGCCTGGGTCATCCACCTCCCGAATCGCTCCTGCATCCTCCCTGCCACTCCCTAGGCTGGAGTCCAAGTCTGGTCCACATCTCTTCCCTGCCTCTTGCCCTCAGGAGAAGGTACAAACCCTCCCATGGTATACACTGACGTCCACACTCGCCTCCCTCTCCTTCCCTCCCTGTGCCCCACGCAGCCAGGTGTCCTGGCCTTCTCCTAAGCTGCAACAACCACCTCTGAATATTTTTACCACAGCCCTTACCACATTAACCCAAAAATATCTGTTTCTTATGTGTCACATCCCCCCAGTTAGAAACTCTCTAAAGGCAGAGACCGTGTCTGAACACGGTTGAACTCCCAGTCCCTAACACAATACCCTGGCACAGGCTGAATTCTGTATCCACACCATCTTGCTGAATCTGGCCTTGTTCGTCAAAGCCTTTCCATGGTTCTTCTCTGAAGACCATCCAAACCCTCAGCCTGACTTTCAGAAACATCGAACGGCTGGTTTAAACCTAGCTTTGCCACCTTAATGGCAAGTGAACACCACCTCTCTCCAAAAATGGGCTCCGCCATACTGAGTGCTCACTTCTCTGGAGCATACCTCACACATGTTCTCCCCGTGCCCAAAACACCCTCTCATCTTTGGGTTTCCTAATTCACTCTAGTTCTCCCTCAACTCCCAGCTCCGGCGCCACCTCCTCTTAAAGTCCTTCCTTCCACCCTACTCAGCTTCTGAAACCATCCGTGATCCTTTGCTGCTTCTGGAACTTCTCATGTGTGTGTATCTCACGTTGCTAATTCAATGTAGGTAAGCCCCTCTCCCGGTCATGCTGCACATGCACTTGGACCTAGGGGCTCCTCAGTAAGAGCTGCTGACTGGCTGATGTAGGTCACGTGCTGCCATGGAGGTGACTCTGCTGGGTGTGCCAGTTTTGGTTACCAGGCTATGGATCCATGTCTCACACAGGCCGCACCTTGAGGGAGGGCCCCTGAACCTAAGCAGGAGAGGTTCAGTCATCCTAGTTCTGCCCCAACTGTTCTGCCTCTGCTTCCTGATCGCCTGTCACAGGCCACTGGGTGGGCCGCCAGAGAGGCCCTGCCACAGCTTGCTTAGGGACCAGGACAGGCCCCGGTGGACCAAGGGCCCCGCACCTTGCAGCCAGCATCCTGGTGCTCAGAACAACCCATGCATCTTATAGACACCATGGCTTGCTGAATCTCTAGGCAAACTGTTACTGTCCATGGGAAAGTATTAGGAACCAGAAAATCGTGTTTGTTTTCCTTCTCATTATAAACTTCCAATGGCTCCCCTCTGAATACTGACTAAGGCAGTAAGTAGCCTGGTATTCGAGACCTTACACATTTTTATTCAAATCTGTCTTTCATTAATCGGATACTGTCCAAGGCCACCCAGCCTGTACCTTTTGCTCATTTATAAAGAAATGGAAAATTCCTTACTGAACGAGTGAATGAATAAATGCATCCAATGGTGATTGCCATACGCTCTATATAACACGTTCTCTGGATTTACTAATAAAAAACGCTGTAGGCGTCTTCCGGTGGCTTTCCCTCATCCTGGTTTGCATTGCAGGGGCTCTGGCTGTGACCAGCGCTGAAGACTGCAGGGCACCTGATGAGACCTACATCTTGACTTCCAGAGAGGAGGGTGATGTCGTGAGTCACTGCCTGGTCTTTCCCCTCTCTCTGCACATGCGGTGTCAGCCGTGGTGCCTGCCAGCCCAGGACAGGACTTGCTACATATGTCAGCAGGGGAAGAGACCCGAGTCACCCCGAGTTATCAGCAGAGAATCCCTATGGGTCCGCAGGAACTTCAGTCCCTACCTCCTCAGAAGAAATAATTTGACTGAGGGGCATGAGGCAGAAAAAGAGAGTGGGCAAGTTTCAGAGCAGGAGTGGAAGTTTAGTTAAAAGGCTTTAGAACAGGAAAGAAAGGAAAATTCGCTTGAAAGAGACCCAAGCAGGCGCCTGAAGGTCCAAGAGAGAAAAGAGAGCTAAAGAAGACAGTTAAAAAAAGAGGGTCTTTAACCTTGATCCTGGGACTTTATAGGCTCGCCTCTTTCCCAGGAGTCTTCCCGTACAGGGTGGGTTTCCTGCATGCACAGTGCCCGCCTTACCCTTTGGAATGGAGCATGCGGAGTGTGGTTAGGGGAAGGTCCACGCAGGGCCCTCTGAGGCTTTCTTCCGTTTTCTGGTGGAGTAGTGACCACACGTCACCATTTTTGTCTCTTAACAGGCATGCCCAGGAAGTTCCTTCTCCCCGGGGCCTGCGTTCAATTAACATTTGGATGTTAACAGGTGCGGACCATCAGGAAACAGTCTCTTCCTGCCTCGTGGAATTGTCATTTTTAGAGAAGGCATGCGATGATGGCCGAACCATCACCCAACATTTCTGGTGGGCGGTGGGGAGAGCCCTCTCCTGCCCCTTTCATGCCTAACTACCTGGAACACACAGAGGAGGCTTGGCTGGGACTTCCGAGTGAAGGTACTGGAGTAATTCTGCTGTTATTGACTGTGATGGTAAAGAATTGGCTGTGTTATTTTCCATTTATTTACTCCCATAGATTCTCCACTTCAATGCAGGGAGGTAAGATTAGGGAGTTGGCCCATGCACAGCTCAGTAGACCACTGGGGATGAGACTTGAGGGCCCCTGGGCCTGCAGTCGGCCCATTGTACCCAGATCAGTGCGAGGGATTCTCACACTCCAGCTGCTACAAAGCTGGGCCTTTATCTCTGCTTATCTAGAAAGAGGCCTGAGCGGGTGACTCATTCTCATACATCAGAGGATCCGCAGTGCTCCAGCCCTGCCCCAACCTCCCTGTGTCTACTGGGACAGCCTCAACGCCAAGGGAAAGAACAAAGAACTAAGGAAAAAACTCGAGTTTTAAAAACTGGACAGAGTGAGGAGGAGCCTCCTCAGGACTGGTTCTTTTCTCCCTCTTTGGCCCCTCTTACCCACTCACTACCATCGACGTTTACGCTCTTGTAATGTTCACACTGTTTGTCATTCCCTGGGAGCGGCTTGTCCACCAAGCTTCTGCATTTGGGGCTGAATGACAAGAAATCAAAGGGACGAAATGGGCCAACTCCCTAATCTTATCTCCCTGAATTGAAGTGGAGAATCTATGGAAGTAAATAAATATAAAACATATAGTCAATTCTTTACCATCGCGGTCAACAATGGCAGAATCTCCAGGAGGAAATGCACTCTGGAGGACTTCCTTCATCTGAGACATCTAACCTGGGGACAGCTCGGCTCTGTGTCCCACCTCCACCACCACAGACTCTCTGCCCACTGCTTCTCTGTATTCCCCAAGATCTGGGGTGTTCCATTTGGGTTCCTGGAGAAAGAAGAAATGTTTTCTACCGAGAGTGAATATACCTGGTGTCCTTCCAAATAGCTGCAGCCCTTGCATTTTTAATAAGAAGGAAGCCCTGATGAATGTCACAAAGCCAATAAATGTGGCCACCACCACACTGGAGATGTTCCTATACATCTCTCAAGTGCCCACAGTGTGCAGGGCAGAGCAGAGATTAGACATGTTGCCCACCCAATGGGCTGATGATCAAAGTGCCTGTGTGTTTCTGTAGGTATTTCCAATTCAGTTTACATTTTAGAAGAAAATAAATACACTTGGACAAGCATCTCCTGTTCTTCTTCCTCCCGCCCTCCACCTTTGATGATGGAACAAACCCATTCCCCTTCCCTCTCCCTTTTATAGTAAAACAAGTCCTTGCAGGTGTCAGTGGGGCTGCTCAGGGGCAAGGCCCACGGATCCCAACTCTGCACCTAGGAACTGGCTGATCCTTGTGACCCTGGGACCCACTTGTAGCCAACCTCTCTCTACACTCCCAGCAAGACCTGCAATTGCTGTTTCGTCCCAGATCCCAGTGGTTCTAGCTAGACCAAGGCCAAAGATTACTTGGGCCTTTTGATGAAAGACCTTTGGGAAATTAGCACCTTTCCACTGGGACGTTGGAGGTGCAGAAACTTGCCTACCTCTGCGATTCTGTTGAGTGCCTGACATCCTGAAGGTTTGCCAGGGATCCTCCCAGCCCTAGTCTAACCTTGAATGAGCTGGCACTGGCTGGCCAGCCTGCCCTCACCTGGGATCCCTGTTTGGCTTGGCTTTTGTCAAGGAGTCCAGGAGCCTGAGGAACTAGAGAATGAAGCAACAGCTCACCAAGGGTGAATTCCTGCCTAGCGCCTGGTATCTGGTTTCCGAGCCAAGCATGGGTGGTTCTGTTTCTGTTGATTCCTGACTGTGGTTGCATGCTGCATCCTGGTTCTCTGTTCCTACCTGGATATTCCTCCCCAGAAGGAATTAAGTCCAGGGCTCTGAGAGCTGCAGGCCCAGATGTAGCTCTTATATGCAAACACTTCCACTTCTGAATTCTCAGAAGTTACTAAGACCCCTTAGAGCCATGCTGGGGTCCTTTGCCCCTTCCTCAGGGCTCAACTTCATTGACTTGGCTGGGTGTTATTTTAGACACCTGAAATAGGCAAGTGCTTGGTATCAGGGTGGTTTAAATTTCAGAGGGGCACGGCGTGGCATAAGGTTTGAGGCTGGGACTTACAGTGCACAGATTAGAGCCTTCTTTGTCACTCTAACAGTTTTGCTCATCTTTACCCACCATTTGTCAGATGACCCTTTGGGTGTTGGAGAGTTATGTCTGACTGTTTTTGCACATGGGTCAGAAATCTATGAAAGATAGTCTGAAATTCTTGCCTCCTTCTCTAGAGCAAACCCAGCAGCTCAGACTGCAGCAAGCTGCTGATGTTCCATCTCTGTGAACCGGCAGGTGATAAGCTGAGGAATGCCTGCTCCTGTCCCCATCCTCACCTGAGATCCCAGAAACTGGCATGCACCACACAGCCTGGGTGTGCCAGGGACGAACTTGTTTAAGCTGTCCTGTTATAATCATGAAAACACCCCCTGTTGTTCTCAAAAGTGAAAGTTGGACAATAAATTATGGAGTTAACCTACGTATAGAGGACAGCCCCTTTGTTCTAGCTGTTCTTTCCAGACATACAGAGAGCATATTACGGCTGGAGAAGTTAGGGCTGAGAAAGGGAAGTGACTTGTCCACACTCACATAGTGAGTCAGTAGCTGAACTGTTTAAGAGAATCCAGGAGCTTTGACTAATGTGCTGCTCACTCCTGACACCACCCTGGTAAAGGGAGTAGAAAGGACAGGAATAGGTCAGTTGACAGCACACAGTGGAGGAGAGAAGCCTGCATGCCTATGCATGTGAAATGACGTTAGAAGGCTTCCAAAGGCAGGTGCAAAATAATATTGCACAATGCAATTGATCCTTAGTGGAAGCTCAGGGACTGGTGGTTGATGAGTGACTTGATGAGCTACAAGTGCCTATAGGGAGAAGGGAAACATCAAGCAGGATGACTGCAGGGTGCTGCAGAGATGACTCCTGGCGGCTGGCTCAGCCTGAGCCTGTGATGGGGCAGAGGTTGTCCTGGCACTGTACGGGCGGAAGGACCTGGGCTGCCTCTAAGTCTACTGAGGCGTTATTTACCAAGGGGAGGATTGAGAAAATCTGCCAAGGAGAAAGAGGTGAACCCAGCATGAAGGAAGGAGGTGTAAGGACAGGGAGCAGACAAGACTGCCTGGAGCAGAGGGAGATGGAAGAAAAGACACAAAGAATGTCTGCCCAGCATCCTCATTTTTTTGGTTTTCTGGGAAAATGGTGCAACTCTTGCAAGCGGCGATTACAGAGGGTGGGAGTAGGAGAGAAACCACAGTGATTTTTCTTTCAGCACCAAAAAAATGTTTTCCCCAAACTAAACAAAGTCAGATTGAGAAATTCAACATAGTACCTTAGGGACCTGGTGGCTCATAGCTGCGTCTTGCCACAGGCGCGGGCCTCAGATGCTCACGCCGCCTGGGGAGGAGCACTTAAACTCTTAAGTGAAGAGGACACGTAAACCTTCCAAGATCAAAACAGTCATGGCCTCTTTTTGCAAAATAGTTTTTGTCGGCCTCCTACAGACAGTGGTGGTGGCACCTTTTGTGAACCACAGCAGGACATGTGCCTGGATGCCCCCTTCCACACCTGTTACCTGCCCAGGGAGCCTCACCTGCCTCTCATAGGGCAGCTTCATAGCCTGTGACTTCAGTGTGGGCCTCTTACACTGAAAGCCCCCAGTGATGGCTGCAGTTGTTGCCTAAAAGGTCATTTCCGGCTGGGCGTGGTGGCTCACACCTGGAATCCCAGCACTTTGGGAGGCCAAGGCAGGCAGATCATGAGGTCGAGAGATTGAGACCATTCTGGCCAACATGGTGAAACCCAGTCTCTACTAAAAATAGAAAAATTAGCTGGGCATGGTGGGGCACGTCTGTAGTTCCGGCTACTTGGGAGACTGAGGCAGGAGAATTGCTTGAGCCCGGGAGGCCGAGGTTGCAGTGAGCCGAGATCACGCCACTGCACTCCAGCACTCTAGCCTTGCAACAGAGCGAGACTCCATCTCAAAAGAAAAAAAAAGGTAATTTCCCTCAGTTGACACCAGTGCTTTAGGATCATTAAAAAAACAAAGGAATCTTCTAATTACAAGATGAAACTCTGCCTTCAAAAAGGGAGATGCGGCTAGATTCTTCAGGAAAAACTGGAGCTGGGGCCTGGGTGGTCTTGCTGGTATTCCTTCTTTTGTGATTTCATTAAATGAAGCCATTCATTTCAGAGCTGCCTTAAAAAAAATGTAGGAGTCATTCAACCTTCCTCAGCAAATTACAGTGATTTTAAATGAACAAAAAAGTCAGTGGCCCTATTCACACTCCCCACTCCCCTGGTCAGGAATAATGTATCTGACGATGGAAATTATCCATAGCCTAGAAAGAAAAGATCATTGCAGCTTCTCAGTTGCACATTGTACTTTCAGATTTTTATTTATGTGAAATTCTCATTCTCAACTGTCTGATTTCTGTTAACCTTGGGGCTCTAAATCTAGTCAGGTCTTGAGCCTGCAGACCCCTTTAAATAGTGTGATAAATTGTTTTCAAATTGAGGTGGCTGTGCTTCTGAGTCTCATCTGTGGAGCCAGGGGCCTTGGGGCCACCCGCACAGTCCCACTGCTGAGATTGTATCTGCAAGTCCTGCCCGCTCTCCCAGGACTCCGCTGGCCAGGGGCTGAGCTCTGAAGCCTCTCCAGCCTCAGGTGGAATTCTGGGTCCTGGCCCAGCCCAGAGCACTGGAGGATCTCAGCAGCCCTCCTCGGCACACAGGAGGAGTGGGTGCTGAGCTGGCACAACAAATCTATCCTCCTGTCCCCACCCTGGGATTTCTGATCTGCTGCAGGATGTGGAAGAACCCAGCTCCCACCTCTGCTAACTGTGCGTAATTCCTCAGTGGGGAGGGCGTCACTGTCTCAGACAAGAATGAGGGGCTGCCCCACAGTCTCTGCACCTCTCAAGTGATCTCCGGAGGCAGCTGGCTACGATCCTGGGACCTACGTAGTCACTGGTGCCGATGTCCATGCTAATGACTCTAGTGGCCACCTCTGTCCAGGCCAGGGCTGAATCCCGGCACCAACATAACTTTTTCCAAGCAGCCTAGATTAATTAGGTAAATGAAAACAAACAAACAAACAAAAAAACAACTGTGAGGTAAAGAGACCTCCAGCATAATCCTAGCTTTTATCACATAAATAGAGGGTGAGGGTACTCACCCCACCAAACCAAAAGGACTCATACACAGTGCAAGGTGCCATGTGCCTTCACAAAGAGAAGAGTCATGTCAATATCAATCCTACAGCAATTCAACTCCACAGAGACAAATGGTGTTTTAAAAATTCCATTTTATTCATTGGTAGTTTTTCCCTTTTTAACAAAATTGTCTATATTTAAGGCATACAACATGATGTTTTGACATACATATACAGAGTGAAATAGTTACTACAGTCAAGCAAATTAACATATTCATCATCTCGCATAGTTATTTTTTGTGCGTGTGTATGGTAAGAGCACCTAAAATCTACTGTCTTCACAAGTTTCCAGTATACAGTATAAGATTATTAACTATGCTGTATACTATACCTTCAGATTTATGTATCCTACCTTTGCACCTTTCGACCTCTCCCCATTTCTCCATTTCCCATCCCCAGTAACAGCCATTCTACTGTCTCTTTTCTTTGTATTTAACTTCTCTTTTAGATTTCACATATGAGTCACAGTATTTTCCTTTCTGTGGCTGGCTTATTTCACTTAACATAATGTCCTCCAGGTTCATCCATATTGTTAAAAATGGCAGTATCTCTTTTTTAAAGGCTGTATAATATTCCTGTGTGTGTGTGTGTGTGTGTGTGTGTGTGTGTGTGTGTGTATAAAAGTATACTGATTAAGGAAAATGTTTAAGCTGTGCTTGTCTGTGATCTGAGTTAGACCTGTGATTGTATCCTTTCCTTTGACTGACATTTATAATCCCCAATCCCTCAATAAGTTGTGCTAACACAGGGAAATTACTTTACCAAATCCCTGTGATATATATATATGTCCCATTTTTTTTTTTTGCTTTTGTCGCCTGATTTTTTGATGTAATATTCAAAAAAATCATTGCCAAGGCCAATATCAAAGAGCTTTCCCCTATTTTCTTCTATAAGTTTTACGTTTTCAGGTCTTAATTTAGATCTTTAATCTATTTTGAGTTGATTTGTGTGTGTGTTGTGAGCTAGGGTCTAATTTTCATGTGGCTATCCTGATTCCCCAACACAATTTGCTGAAGAGACTATGATTTCTCCATGTGTCTTCTTGGTGCTGTTTTCAAAAATTGGTTGATTGTATATGCTTGGGTTTATTTCTGGGCTGTCTATTCTGTTCCGTTGGTTTATGTGTCTGTTTTTATGCCAATAACATACTATTTCAAATACTATAGGTTTGTACTAAAATTTAAAAATCACCAAGTATGATGTCTTCATCTTTGTTTTTCTTTCTTAATAGCTTTGGCTATTGGGGTCTTCTGTGAGTCCATCCAGATTTTAGAATTGATTTCTCTAGTTCTGTAAAAAGTGCCATTGGAATACTGACAAGGATGGCTTTGAATCTTCATACTCCTTTGTGTAGTATGAACATTTTAACAATATTAATTATTTCAATCCATGAATATGGGATCTCTTTCCATTATTTGTGTCATCTTAAATTTCTTTTATCAATGTTTTATAATTTTCAATGTACATATCTTTCAGCTATTTTGTTAAATTTATTCTTAATTATTTTATTCTTTTTAATGTCATCATTAGTGAAATTGTTTTCTTTATTTTTTATTTTTTGGATAAGTCATTATTGTTGTGAAGAAAGATACTGATTTTTGTATGCTGATTTTGTATCCTCCAACTTTACTGAATTTGTTTATTAGTTTAAACAGGTTTGTGTGTGTTTGTGTGCTTGAAGTTGTTAGGGTTTTCTACATATAGGATCATCTCAGCAGTAAACAGGTAAAATTTTACTTCTTTTCTTATTTGGATGCCTTTTATGTTTTTTCTTGTCTGACTGCTCTGGCTAGCACTTTCAATACTACGTTGAATAGAAGTTGCAAGAATGGGCATCCTTTCTGGATCTTAGAGGAAAAGCTTTCAATTTTTCCCACGGCTTATGATGCTATCTCTGGGATTTTCATAAATAGCCTTTATTATGTTGAAGAAGTTTCCTTCTGTAACTAAAGTGTTGAGACTTGTTAATCAAGAAAGAATGCTGAACATTGTCAAATGCTTTTTCTGCATCTATTGAGATGAACATGAATAATCTTGAAGAGCACTTTGTGAAAGTGACTTACAGAGTGGTTGTGCCTAGAGCACTGACCCAAAAAATGATCAAGTGGTGGCCAGGCATGGTGGCTCATGCCTGTAATCACAGCACTTTGGGAGGCCGAGGCGGGCGTATTGCCTAAGGTCAGGAGTTCTAGACGAGCCTGGCAAACATGACAAAACCCTGTCTCTACTAAAAATATAAAAAATTAGCCAGGCATGGTGGCAGGCACCTGTAATCCCAGCAACTTGGGAGGCTGAGGCAGGAGAATGCTTGAACTCGGGAGGCAGAGGTTGCAGTGAGCCCAAATTGTGCTGTTGTACTCTAGCCTGGGCAACAGAGCAAGCACAAAAAAAATCAAGTGGGTAAGAATTGCCAAATATACATGAGGAAAAATGATCTCAGAGAGGCTGGAGGTGGGTGGACAGATCAGCTTAGCCTCTAAGGGCATGTATATGCTTGTAGTAGGAAGTTATATATAAGGGCCTTCTCTTTATAGCAACAGTAGCTTCTGCCCTGATTCTAGGTAATTGTCAACATCTACCCAAAGTAGTAAGTATTAGATACTTGATGAGTGCAGATCAGGTGAAAGTAATAAGTGTTGGTTGTAAGAGGTGACAAGAAGGGCTATTCAACAAATGGTGTTGGAACCAGCGGCTAGCCACTTAAAAAAATCCATTAAGCTCGTTCTTACCGTACTCTCACCACCAATAAATTCCATGTGGATAAAAAACTTAAAGATAAAATTTGAAACCATAAGATTTTAAAACTCATGGGTGTGTGGGCTGGGCGTGGTGGCTCACACCTATAATCACAGCACTTTGGGAGGCTGAGGCAGGCAAATCACAAGGTCAGAAGATCGAGACCATCTGGCCAACATGGTGAAACCCCGTCTCTACAAAAAATACAAAAATTAGCCAGGCACGGTGGCAAGTGCCTGTAGTCCCAGCTACTTGGGAGACGAAGGCAGGAGAATTGCTTGAACCTGGGAGGTGGAGCTTGCAGTGAGCTGAGATCGCACCACTGCACTCCAGTCTGGTGACAGAACAAGACTCTATCTCAAAAAAAGAAAAAAAAAAAAAGATATGTTTATTGATAATCTCTGTATCTCTGTATAGAGAAGTCCTTTCTAGTATAGAAGCCATAGATTTAAAAAATTATAAATTTATACCATAAAAGTATGCACACTTTTTGTATGACAAAATTACTTTTAAAAATGTGATAACCAGGACAAATACTTGCAACATATATGAGAAAAAGAGGCTTAATTTTCTTAGATTATAAAAAGGTGGTACAAACCAATACAGAAAAGCTGGCACGAACCAGTAAATTAAATATTGGGCAAAGAATTTGAATGGGCAGCTTATAAGAAAAATCACACAGATGTCTGATAAGCACATTCACTTGAAATTAATAATGCATATCCAAATCATAACAGGATATCATTGTTCACGTAATTGGCAAAGATTATAAAGTTTTTAAAATAATTAGTGCCAGTGAAGATATGTGGAGAAAGGAACTCACAAATATCGTTATGAGGACTGTCGACTGATAGTCATTTGCCAATATTAATAGACTCATCTGAGAGCAATTTAAAAATAACAATTATAATTTTCAATGTATGCTCCCTTTGATCCAGGAATTCGACTGCATGAGTTTAGACTACTACTACCTTGACTAGATTATGCCAAAACGTACAGGACAAGGATGGACATTACAGCATTGCTTACAATAGCAGGAACAACTGAAATTTACCTAAAATGTCCACCAGCTGAGACTGGTTAGACAATAGAACTTTATGAAGTAGTTTTTAAAAAAGTGAAAAGTTGATTGGTAGAGCTTGCATATAGAGGATCTTTAATTTTAATATGTAGAAAATAAAGAAGCAAGGCTAAGGGCAACATATTCAGCAATATTTGATAAAGTTTTTAAATTGTACAAAAACACATTTGGGCACATCCCCCAATGTATTTATTTATTTATAGAATACATACAGGTATATAATCAGATACAAAAATAGAGCAAAAGGGGTGAATTAAAACAAAGAAATATAAGCTCAATTTTTTTTTACACTCTTTTACACCCAAGAGACTTTCTTGGATGTGTGCACCTGCTCCACATGAGAGTGGTGTGAGTACAGCATTATGGTAATGTAAAACTTTGTCTCCAAATTCTTTGACATTTCTTCCATTGGGAGATGAAATCCCCTTCACACTGGACAGGCTTTTGTGGTTGTTTTGACCAACAGGGGAGGAGAGAAATGATAATATGTGATACTGAGTCTAGGATGTAAAAAGTGATGCATCTTCTGCCTCGTTGCTAGGATACTTGTTCTTAAGCCTTTAGTGGCTAAGTGGGCCGCCTGAGATTGCCATGCTGAGAGGAAGCCCAAACTAACACAAGTGGAAAGAAGATGGGGAGAGAGACATGCTCAGGTGCTCCAAGCTTCAGCCTCTGCCTGCCTCTGCACAAGCAATACCAGGCCAGCCTGCTGAGCTCTTTCCACATTCCTGACCCACGGAAACCAGAAGTGGGGACAAACACTTGCTGCTGTTTTAGACCACTATGTTTGGGGGTGATTTGTTATGTAGCAATAAATAATAGAAACAACCATGATCCCCAATTTTTGCACACGTGTGTGTGTGTGTGTGTGTGTGTGTGTGTGTGTGTGGTGTTGTGTATGCAATTGACCCTTGAACAACATGAGCTGGAACTGTGCAGGTCCACTATACACAGATTCTCTTCTGCCTCGGCCACCCCTGAGACAGCAAGACCAGTCCCTCCTCTTCCTCCCTCCTCCTCAGCCTACTCGACATGAAGACAATGAGGATGAGGACCTTTAGGATGATCCCCTTCCACGTGACACATAGTAAGTATATTTTCTCTTCCTTATGATTTTCTTAATAACATTTTCTTTTCTGTAGCTTACTTTTTTCTAAGAATGCAGTATCTAATACGTGTAACATACAAAATAGGTGTTGCTTGATTGTGTTACTGGTAAGGCTTCTGATCAACAATAGGCTTTTGGTAGTTTTGTTTTAGGGGAGTCAAGAGTTAACGTGCAGATTTTTTCAACTGTGTTGGGGATTGGTGCACCTAACCCTCATGATGTTCTAGAGTCAACTGTATGTGTATATGTGTACACACACACACACACACACACACAATATTTTTATAGATGCAAATGTACATCCACATTTGCTGTGCTTTGCCTAATTTTGAGGGAATAGAGAACAGAAGGAAGTGCTGAGAGTGGTTATTTTTGAGTGGTGGACTGGAAGGCAGGGAAGCTGTGATAGTTAATTTTAGGTCTTAACTGGATTAAGGAATACCTAGAGAGCTGGTAAAGCCTCAAATCTGGGTGTGTCTGTGAGGGTGTTTCCAGAGAAGACTGGCACATGAGTCAGTGGACCGAGTGGGAAAGATCTACCCTCAATGTAGGCAGGCACCATCCAGTCAGCTGGGGGCCCACACAGAACAACAAAGCAGAGGAAAGGAGAATTCCTTCTTTCTCTCTCCTGAACCTGGGACATCCTGCTTCTGCTGCCCTTGGATAGCAGAACTTCAGGCTCTTCAGCCTTTGGACTCCAGGACACCCTTGGTTCTCATGCCTTGGGCCTCAGACTGAGAGCTGCACCACTGGCTTCCTTGGTTCTGAGTCTTTCGGACTTTAACTGAGCTACACTATGGGCATGTAGTGTGCAGACAGCCTGTTGTGGGACTTCCCTGCCTCCTTAATCACATGAGCCAATTCCCCTGATAATCCTCCCTTGTCTGTCTGTCTGTCTGCCTATCTATCTATCTAATCTATCTATCTTTCCATCCATCTGTCTCCTATTGGTTTTGTCCCTCTGGAGAACTCTGACTGATACTAAGATCATCTTTGTTAGAAATGGAATGTTAATGCTTTATCGTTGCCTGCATGATCTATAATTTTTTTCTCGTGTTTCTTTTAAAATCTTGACCTGGCTTGGGAGGAGACCATCTTTCGTCTGCTCATACTAGCTCGTCTAAAATCTGGAAGCACGAAGTTTCTGCACAGTACCAGCCTGGACTGAACAACCGTAATGTGCTTAACACTATCCAAAATTGATTCTAGTTCTCAACTGCGCAGCCCTGGAGTCATATCTGAAGGTCCATATCCTGGCTCCATCATTTCTTATCCTCTCTAAACTTCAGTTTCCTCTTCTGAAAAATGCAAATAATATCAGTACCTGCCTATGTTAGTTATCTATTGATGTATGATAAACTACCCCAAAACTTAGCAGCTTGAACCAATAAACATGTATTAGCTACAACTTCTGTGGGTTATGAAACCAGGCACGACTCAGCCAGGAGCTTCTGGTTCAAAGTATCTCATGAGGTTGCAGTCCAACTACTGTCTGAGGCTGCGGTCCCATCTGACGTGTGACTAGTGATTAGGGTGGGATCCTCTTCCAAGTCCATGCACGTGGTTGTCAACAGGATTCCATCCCTTATAGTCTGTTGGACTGAGAGTTTCACTTCCTCACTGGCTGTTGGCTGGGGGTCTCCCTCAGTGCTTTGTCACATAGACCTCGCTACAGGGCAGCTCACGGTATGGCAACTAGAGCACCAAAGACAGAAGCCACAGACTTTTTACATCCTGATCTTGAAGGGGGACATCCTGTTACTTTGACATACTCTACTCATTCAAGGCAAGTATATGAATCCAGTCCACACTCGAGGAGAAGGGATTATAAAAGGAAGTGAATGCCAGGAGGTGAGGATCAACAGGGGCCATTGCATAGGCTGCCTGCCACAGCACCCATAGAGTGGTTGTGAACATTAAATAAATTAATGTCAGTGTTTAAAACATACCACAATACAGTATTGCTCAACACATGAAAGGCCTTATTAATATTATAGATATCTGTCCATGTTTAACATTCAATATCAAGTGTTTTTTGTTTTTGTTTTTGTTTTTGTTTTTTTTTGAGACAGTGTCTTGCTCTGTCACCTAGGCTGGAGTGGTGGTGTGGTCCCCACTCACCGCAACCTCCACTTCCAGAGTTCAAGCTATTCTTCTGTCTCAGCCTCCCAAGTAGCTGGAACTACAGGCGCACGCCAGGCTGATTTTTGTATTTTTAGTAGAGACAGGGTTTTGCCACGTTGGCCAGGCTAGTCTTGAACTTCTGACCTCAAGTGATCCGTCTGCCTTGGCCTCTCACAGTGCTGAGATTACAAGTGTGAGTCACCTGAAGTACTCTTTTTCGGCAACTAATTTATAGTGATATTTCAGTGAGGTCCTTTCGCCAGAAATGCACTAATTTATCCATGTAGGTGTTTTCTCAGACTCCCCAGGGCAACACCGACTTAGGAGCGGCTCCTGCCAAGCAATGATATGGGCTGGCCCTGCCGTGGCTTTCGGCTTTCTCAGTACCGCTCATCGAGCGGTCATCGAGTGTGTATTAGTGCCTATAACAAGATGGGAACCCAGGTAGTAACTGAGGACCCAGCAGTGAACCAGGCATGTATAGCTTCTGCCTTTCCAGAGCACACAAATTAGTGGAGGAGGTTCAGACAGAGAAAAGACAACTTCAGCCATTCCTGAGCACTCTTCAATACTGATACCCCGAAAAGCATAAACCTAAATGATTACTCTTCTCTCACTACCTCAATATTTGAAGGTAAATGAGGAGGTTTATTATTGTTAATTATTTAATTTCAGAAATACATAACGTATCTAATTGAAATCTATTTAATACTTAAAATGTTATATTTATGAAATTTACTAACACTAGGTACACCCTCACTTAGGTGGGGCAGGAAGCTAAACTTCTTGCCACCATCATGAGATTGGGTTTGGCACAGTGTGGTGATACCCTGGTTTCCTAGGAGACTTAACCCTGGCATAGGCTCACAGCTAGGACACACACAAGTATTGCTATCCTCACCAGGTGTTCAGCTGCTCTTCGTACAAGCATCTCTACTGTCTCAAAGCGTATATATTCATGCATTCACCAACTATTTTATGAACAATAAGCAGATGCTATATTGGGGGTTCTCTTTGGATCCCACCTATTTCCAAATTTCCAAGACTGCATTCTCTCCATTCACTGTCCTCCAACACAGCCTCCGAGACTCTGAATGGGGTCTTCTGCTCGTAGTCATGGCCAGCACAGCCTAAGGTACAGAGCAGAGCAGGAGCCGCCGGAGTGGACTTGGCATCAATCACAGAAACAACAGCAACAAGCCACAAATACTCAAGAAGCAGGGAAAAGGGGTAAGGGAATACCGTTACAAAACGCTAAAGTTCTTCAAACATTTTAAACCTTTTCTTCTCACTCTGACGATTCCCACTTTCTGTGTAGAAAAACAAAGAAAAAGAAGATAAGTTGTATTAGGCACAACCTCCAGAGTGAGTTGACCCAGCGTCTTTATAGAATGAGAAGGGAGAGAATTCGTAATTAAATAAACAGCAAACAAACCTCAGGATAAAGGTTACCCCGTATCTTACCTAAACTCTACAGTACTATAATTTATTCAGTCGGCGAATAAGTATTTGTTAGCATCTAATCTATACTAGGTACTATTCTAAGCTCAAGTTTTATCATGGCGCTCCAGTCTTCTCCTTGTAATATTTACACCCAATAAACACTTATCACGAAACCTACGGTGTGCAGAGCTATAATCTGTAACCTATCATACACTTTGGAAAAATATTAACAGAACTTTGTAAAAATGTCTACACAAACCAAATATTCAGGAAGATACCAATTCTGAAACAAGCTCTGTCTTTATTAAAGAACTCATCTGCTGGAAATGTTTCTCGTTAATTGCCTTCAGATATTTAGTGTATATCTGTGATATCATGATTTTCTAGGGCATATTCTCCAACAAATGTTATGTAAGCTATGTGTTCTTTCATGTTTATAAACTAGCCCTTACCAGTTGGAAATATAACATCTTCTTGCACTAACATCCTACCTTGTTTTATCTGTGCAAATCTCAGCAAAATCTTGTGTAACTGTATTAGTCAGCTTCACTGCATAACAAACAATCCCCCAAAACCTCAGTGGCTTACATCATCAATTTATTTCTTCCTCATGAGACATGCAGGCTATGAGTCTGCTGTCGCAGCTATTTTCTCATCCCAGGATGCAGCTGAAGGAGCAGCTCCTATCTGGGAAATTCTTTTCTCTTGGATGAGGGCAGAAGAGCAAGAGACCAAGCAGAATCACACCATCACATTTAAAGCTTCTGCTCCTAAGTGGCATATACCTTGTCTACTCACATGTCATTGGCTAATGAAAATCACATGACCAAGCCTGACAGGGAGTCAGGGAAATATATTTACCTATCTATAAGGGGTCTAAAGCAGGGATGGATAATCCTTTTAAAGAAGAAAGGACAAATAATTGCAAACAATACTATAATCCACTACAGTAACCACTTGGCAATTTCCAAAATAGTGAGGAACTTACAGGCACATTTTTTTCTGGATCTACATTTCTGTCCATTCATTGAAGAACACAGGCAGATCCTCAATCATGGCACACGTAACCCACTGGAAAGGAAAGTCGTCACAGTGAAGGACACTGAACTAAGCCCAACATCTGTTAAAAGACCGCAGATTTTGAAATTTTAAAAAACAAATGCTGAACCTCATTATTACAACACTAGGGTTAACAAAGGCTTGCCGTAGTTTACTCAGCATTATGCTGGTAACTTCACTTCACTAGTGTCCAATGTTGTTTTTAGTTTCTGGGATTCAAAACCAAAAGAAGGGAAAGGAGTGGCTAACATTCATGCTAACAGTAGTATAATGCTCTAAAATGTGTTTAAATAGCACTTCCACATTCACAGTAATTGCAGAAGTGATGAACACAGTTAAGAAGGACATGCTGTACTTGGGGAATTAGAATTAGAACTAGGAGAGACAGGATAATATTTGCTTTTATATGAGAAGTAAAATTACACTGTTACATGTGCTTAATCATTGTAGGGACCTAAATCATTGCAGGTATCTGTTTATGCCATTTGTTGGAAAAAAAACTGGGACAGGATACCATTTTCCTTCCTTTAATATTTTTAAATCACCCTCTACAGGACAGGCGCTGTGAGATGAATATCTCATACTTACATATACACACGCCTATTATTTCCACATCTCTGATTTCCCCCTGTACCCAGGGATTTACTTCTAGTCATAAAAGATGGCTTACCTTAGATTTCCTGCCATAAAGCTCCTTCCCTTTATACTAAGTCATACTTTCTACAGTTGGCTTAAAAGACACATTTTATAATGAGAAAGCTAAAATGGAGTCTTTTTAAAGACATGCCCAAGACACACATACTAACGAGATGACCCCTTCACTCCTTAATTTGCGGTTCATTGAGATGATTGATTGACATATAGAAAGTTAGATAGATAAATAGATACACGGATGAAAGGTAGATGACGAGAGAGAGAGTTGAAACATAGATGATAGAGAGAGATGAACAGTTTCTCACACTTGGCATACGGAGTGAGGAAGTCAAAGTAAAACAATGGTAAGCACTACACCTCCGTGTCGTCAGACCCACCTCAAATTGGAAAGCGTGGTCAAGCCAACCATCTAGGAAAGAAACAAGAGCTGTGTCAACTTTGTCATTCAAATAAATGTCCATGGCCAGCCGCGGTGGCTCACGCCTGTAATCCCAGCACTTTGGGAGGCTGAGGCAGGCAGATCAGGAGGTCAAGAGATCGAGACCATCCTGGCCAACATGGTGAAACCCTGTCTCTACTAAAAAAAAAATACAAAAATTAACTGGGCATGGTGGCATGCGCCTGTAGTCCCAGCTACTTGGGAGGCTGAGGCAGGAGAACTGCTTGAACCCAGGAGGCGGAGATTGCAGTGAGCCGAGATTGCGCCACTGCACTCCAGCCTGGCGCCTGGCAACAGAGCAAGACTCTGTTTCAAAAAAAAAAAAACCAAATAAAAATAAACATCCACAATGAATATTGTGCCTTCTCAAATAATTTGGAGCTCCACATTTTGACATTTCATATAATGGCTAGCATATTATGACTATGTGGTAGATGTTACAGTGAATTGTGTCCCCCTAAATTCATGTTGAACCCCTAGCCCCACTACCTCAGAATGGGACTCTATTTGGAGACAGGTTCTTAAAGAGGTAGTTAAGCTCAAATGAAGTCATTACTGTGTGCCCTAATTCTGCATGACTGGTGTTTTTTAAGAAGAGGAAATTAGGGTACAGATGCACTCAGAGTGAAACCATGTAAAGTGAGCCGGTGAAGGTGGCCATCTATTAGCCAAAGAGAAAGCCCTCAGGAGAAACCAACCCCGATGGCACCTTGAGCTCAGACATCTAGCCTCTAGAACTGTGAGAAAATAAATTATATTGCTTAAATTACTCAGTCTAGGGTACTTTGTTTTGATAGCCCTAGCAAATCAGCTTCTCTTCAATTTATCTGCAAAAAAAAAAAAAAAAAAAAAAAAAAAAAAGAGAGAGAGAGACAGCGAGATAATATTACCAATACGTACATTTTACTTAGTAGGACAGCATGGAAAATGGGTATATACTTGCTCTTGTCTGGGCCTGGGTTCAACTCACTGGCTCTGCCACTTACTAGCAATGTATGTAACCTTGGACAAATTACTTAATCTCTTTGTGTCTCAGTTTGCAGATCTGTAAAATGGGGTAATGGTACTTATCTCGCCAAGTTGTCAGGAGGAATAAATGAATTAATAATGTTTGAAAGCACTTAAATAGTGCTTAACACATTGCGACCAGTGCATAAATAGGAAATAAAACAGTTGGAAAGTGTTTTGAAATCCAGTCTATAAAATTCTTTTAAATTCTAACAAAAGAAAGTCTAAGTGTAGAGTATTCTTATTACAGTGAGAAAATATTTGTCACAGCATTTAGAGTTTCTAATCTGTTCAGGAGAGGGGCTATTGGGTTGAGTTTGCATTTATAGGAAGAGAGACGACTCAACTCAATGACTGTGCTCTGACGATGAGGATGGTCATTACCCATGTACCCTGATGGCCGTGATTGTGAACCATTTCTGGAGAGGATTTGAATATTTGCCAAAGCTTTCACACTTGCTGGCTTTCCCCGCAGCATTCATTGCCATGAGAACTATGGAGGGAGTACAGAATGTGTGCTGAAAATTGCGGCCGGGCGCGATGTCTCACGCCTGTAATCCCAGCACTTTGGGAGGCCGAGGCGGGTGGATCACGAGGTCAAGAGATCGAGACCATCCTGGTCAACATGGTGAAACCCCGTCTCTACTAAAAATACAAAAAATTAGCTGGGCATAGTGGCACGTGCCTGTAATCCCAGCTACTCAGGAGGCTGAGGCAGGAGAATTGCCTGAGCCCAGGAGGCGGAGGTTGCGGTGAGCCGAGATCGCGCCATTGCACTCCAGCCTGGGTAACAAGAGCGAAACTCCGTCTCAAAAAAAAAAAAAAAAGAAAGAAAGAAAATGTTCACAGGTGCAATTTGCGCATGACTTGCTACAGAACGGGGGTAAACACAACTTGGTTTCTACTGGTCAAATTTTAACTCAAGATAAACTTGCTGACTGTGAAGTGTAGCACGTGATCATTCAGTGTGTGATACTGAACATAAACAGAGTCGGGGGAGTAGGGGCATCCCAGGGTCCAGGGGACAGTGTGTGGCTCCTTGGGGAAGGCCAGCCTGGCTGCAATCTGCTCTGATCCAGCAGACCCCGCAGCTTGCCTCTGCTTGTGGTTCGTAAATGAGGAACATCACATGGTTGACTGTGAAGGTGTTTGGGGACTTGGAGCTCCCAGCCCACTGGTTTTTAATTCTTGTTATAGTTTCTGCTTGGAAATCCCGAAGGACTGGCAACTGCCTAGATAGCAGTTTTGACTAACAAAATCGTAAACAGAAATGACCAGGCATGGAAAATGAGTTTCTAAGAAATTAAATTAAAAAAAAGTTTAGACTCAGGGTGTATTTGTGGAGGTGTGTTCGAAGGGTATATTGCGTCACGCCGGGCTTTGGGCTGCTATTGAATCCATCACCCCAATCGTGAACATAGTACCCAACAGGTAGTTTTCAGCCCTTACCCCACGTCCTTCCTCTCCTCTTCTGGAATCCCCAGTGTCTACTGTTTGTATCTTTATGTCCACGTATGCCCATTGTTTAGCTCCCATTGATAAGTAAAAACACACAAAAGTTGGCTTTCTGTTTCTATGTTAATTCACTTAGGACAATGGCCTCCAGCTGCATCCATGTTGTTGCAAGGGAGATGATTTGATTCTTTTTTTAGGGCTGCATAGTATTCCATGGTGTGTATGTATCATATTTTCTTTATCCAGCCCACCATGAATGGGCACTTAGGTTGATTCCATGACTTTGCTATTGTGACTAGTGCAGCAATACACATCTGCCTGCAGGCGTCTTTTGATAGAATGATTTATTTTCCTTTGAGTAGTTACCCAGTAGTGGGATTGCTAGTTCAAATGGTAGTTCTATTTTTAGCTCTTTGCCAAATCTCCATACTGTTTTCCATAGGGGCTGAACTATTTTACATTCCCAATGAGAGTGTATAAGCATTCCTTTTTCTGCACATCCTCGTTAGCATCTGCAATTTCTTGACTTTTTAATAGCCATGCTGACTGGTGTAGATGGCATCATTGTGGTTCTCATTTGCATTTCTCTGATGAGTAGTAATCCTGGGTATTTTCTTAAATGTTTGTTGGCCACTTGTATGTATTCTTTTGAGATGTGTCTATTCATGTCCTTTGCCCACTTGGACGATGAGTTTATAAGCCAATTGGGAAAAGGGGAAAGGGTCTTCAGTAGGGAGATGGCACCTGAGATACATTTTGGAGGATATTAGCTCTCTGAGATCAAACTTGCCTTTGATACACTGGGAACATTTTTATGAGCGTAAAAATTACTAAAAGAGACTTGAAATATTTTTCTCTCCTGTCGTTTCAATCCACGGAGCTATTAAAATTTTCAAAACTTCAGGGCAAGGAAGAAATATATCATCTGAATATAAGCATTTGAGTAACCAATCTCTGCCAGAGGTGGGGCCGGGAGGTTGACAATACTTTATACATATTTCTATTTACATAGAACTGAGCCTTTGCTAACCTCACATATCTAGAAAATAGCTTAGAAACAATGAATTTGTTAAAAATAAAAACAATACTTGAGAAATGCTTTTCTCATACTTTTGTCATAGAAGAAGCAGCCCTCAGTCCCTGACTTAGAAAGCATCTATGTTTATTGTGCACATATCCCTAACCAGTGTGAGTTTCTCCATAGTACACAGCAATTCAGAAATAGAAAATCAGCAATAGGGAGAAGGCTTTGCATAGCCTTACACACTAACAAGAAATAACTGCTAACAGCCCAGAGAAGGGAGCAACAGAAAAGTGTAAAAAACAGACAGGCACAAGAATTCCAAAAGACACAGTAATTTGGGACCTCTCAGTGGGCAGGCAAATATTTCTCTCTGTCTCTCTCTGTCTCTCCCTGTCTCTCAGTGGCCTAAGCCCATTTTTTTAATCCAACAGCAGTGAAAGCGGTTCTTTTTATGATTACTTTAAGCCCAAACAAATTTACAAAAAGAAGTTAAATGAAGTTCCTCCACTCTTGAAGAAAGTGGGGAAGGTTGAATTACATTTTAGAAAGTTTTCTGCCCAAAATCTTTTTTCTGCCTCCCACCCTCCTTTCCCTCCATCTCTCTTTCCCTCTGTCCTTTCTTTTTCTTTGTTTCTCTTCCCTTCCTCCCTCTCCCCCTCCTTTCTTTCCTTTCTTTCTTTCTTTTGGTGCTTTGAAGGACCAGTTCTCACTTGCCTAGAATTCAGCAATCCAGAATGACAACAAAGCAAGCTGAGGTTATTTGTTTGTTCCACCATTTGCCAGTGCATAGATGTGGAGTTATTACGCACCGTGTGATCAATATTAGTTTCTATTTTTTAAGGATCATCTCATGATTTTTAAGTTTCTGAAGAGCTGAACGATTGTTAAAAATACTGTTACTTGAGAGGAGAAGAAATGAGGAGAAAAAAACGAACGGAGGGAATTGTTAGGAGATGACATGTTAGAACACACATACTGAGAGGGTAAAAGCAAGTCAGTTCCCTTAAGGCACAAACAAAATTTCACCATCCCATTTATTTGTACTTTAGTTTAGTTCACAGACTTCAAAACCTACTCATTATCACCGAATGCTCTTTCAAGTGATTGAAGAGCTGAAAGAAAAACCTAAGCTACCTCCACATATGATATGTAAGAAATGTTGGCTCATCCAGATCTTCCTAAGGAAAGAGAGTTTGACTCCAGCAATGCTGACTGCAAGCCTCACCAACTGCACCCTTCCTTCTTCCCACTCACAATACACACATACGCCCCTTGTGTGTTAGAAACATTGTACTGAAGGAATGTATAAAATCTGTAAGTTAATTCTTCTCTGAGGGGTTGCTATCAGCCAGGTACGGGGTTAAAGTGCAAACACGTAATTATCACTTGACCATACCCCTGTGAGGAAACTGAGGCTCAAGAAATTTAAGTAAAGTTTCTGAAAGACACACAGCTTGCAAACAACAGAGATGAGATTTAAAACAAGGTTGCTTATTAACCATTGGGCTCCACTATCTGCCAATGGGGTATA